CCATGCAGTGATTTCAGTGCCACACTCCTCCTCAGCACAGCAGCTGACCTCTGAACACCGCAGGACTGCATCTAATCATAGCAAATACCGCCTCTTGTTTGGGACCTGCTTGTCAAAAAATTGCCTATCTTTTTTTTTTTTTTTTCCCTCTGGACAGAATATCTAAATCATTCTGGCTTAAATCAATTTTATCGGGCTTGTAGCAAGGCAATTTGTTGTTAATTTTCCCAAAAGTCCTCTGGTCCGCTTTACAATTCTCTGTATTAAAAGACAACAAACTTTTAATATGTTTAAAAGATTGTTGTAGATAGTAGGCATGGTAAAGAATTCTTGTACAAAATGTTAGATGGTAAATCCCCTTAACTATTGAACTGGATATTTAATAGCCTCTAGTGATGCGTAGGGAAATACAGAAGAGTCTCTATATTTTAAAACAATCATTGCACTGAGTCCCATAGTTTATATATTGTTAATATCATTTTCATGAAAGCTTTAAATGTTTCTCAGAAGAAACTGTGGTGACTCATGAATTTTTCATGAGGCATTATGCATTTTTATGAACATATGATGTAAAATTCATCATTCTGAAATTCACAGATATCCATGAAATGCTACATGTCTCTCCTTGGTCATGGATATTCACGACAGTACTACTGCTGTAAGCGTTTAAATGCCTATTCATAAATATTCTAGAATGTCGCCTTCTGATGCCATGTAACATTTTGCTTATGCTTTATGAGTACTTCATTTGGGCATTTTCCACTTGATAATGAAAGTAAGACCTTCAGGGACAGATATTAGTGTATATATAAATTATGTGTGAAGTTATCTCATTGCTTTGTTTTTATTCCTAGCATTTTCTTTCTTGGTTATTGCTGTAAGTTCAATGAATTCTTTGAGGGGATTTGGGGAATTTCAGGTTTCATACTTATAATCAAGGATACATCATTGGTATAAGGTACCAGATGCAACAGAATATGAATTGAGATTCTAGAGAGCAGTAAAGATTTCAAAAAGTATGTGTTAATATCTAATTTAGTAGCTCTCATGTGAAAGTGATGTGTTTCATCTAGTTGGAGGATTGTATAGAACCAATGGCAGGATCAAGTCTCCCTTTTAGACATATTCAAGTGTTAGTAAATTTACTTTTACAGTGAAGAAACAGCAAGTTTAGCATTTAAAGGTTGCACCTGCATCCCCTGAAGTTGTTGATACTGTTCTCATTGATTTCACTGTTGCAGAATAAAGTCTTATAGACCTTTATCAATGCATTTAGTCAGCTTTGAGTAGATGACAGATCCTTTAACTCTCTATTACAACAGTAATACAATAATGCAGAAGTATAGTACAATAACTTGTTTGTACATTGGCGTTAAATAATGCCTTAAATTCTTTGTCAGATTAGGTTCCAGTTGTGATAATGGCATTTGATACATAAATGTCAGCCTATCTTTTTTTCCATTTGCCTGCACCTGATCTAACCTATCCAGCCTAGCCCATGACAGATATGTTTGTGTTTCCTCTCCATCCTCACGTCCCTCATTCTAGTGGAGGACAGTGCTGTTTGCCTTGTCTCCACTAAGGATGGAGCCTCGGTGGTCTCCCCTTCCCCTGGGTCTCCTTCCTTCCTTGCAACAGCCTGACCCATAAGGGGGAAGAAGTCATGCATTCTGGACAGTTAGCAGGGAAGAAGATCGCAGTGAATTATCTTCTATTATCAAGTCTTGCAGTAGTCTGAGAAATGGAGGGATTAAAGAGGTGAGTGAGACCCTCATCTTTACTCACCACCTTTGAGACTGCATTGGCTTCTAAAAAATTTAGTAGCATCCAAAAGATTTCATAATGTCATGATATTTACAGGCATAGGATATTCTAGAAAGGTATCAATATCCATAAATAATTTTACCCATAGGTGGTTTTACCCAAGATGTCAGTAAATGATGCAAATCACCTATTCTGAAATTTGTAATTATAGGACACATTTAATTATCTGACTTGTGTTTCTTAGCTTTAAATGCAATGTGTATGTATTCAAAATGAGTTAAAAAAGGAGACCAATTTTCAACAGACCTCATCACACTGCAGCTTTTGTTGTTCCTAAAGGGAGCTGAAATTCATTTCCCAGTTGTGACTGTTGAGAGTTTCTAAAGGTCAAAACTATAAGGGAATTTTAAAATTAGTTATTCTATTCAGGCTCACTAAAAAGTAATACCAATGCGCTGGTAGTCTTATGCATACAATTTGTTCACTCTTGAATATACATACAAATGTAATGTCAAAAATAGGAAAAAAAAAATCTGCTGTAAGTATTCTCCTTACAGCAATTTTTTCTCAATCAGGAAGTTAAATGGAGTTCTTTTTGTTTGGTAAGGTTAGTTATTGTTAGAAGAAAGTCTCTGGAAACCTGGAAAAAAAAAGCAGTTGGAAAATGAAAAAGCATAGAAACCACAGAGGTTAATTTCACTTGAATTTCCTTGACATAAATCACAGCTTTCACTAATTGATATCATTGTGGAATATCTTTTTAAAAGGAAAAAAAAAAAAAAAAAAAAAAAAAAAAGCTTTGCAAGAATCCTGAAAAAAGATGAAGAGTTCACCAAAATATTTTTTTCATTAATGACTTTATGAACAAAGAAAGACAGACAGAAATAGGGGACTGAAAAAAAAAAAAAAGGCTGCCTTTGATGTATTTAATGAATTTGAGTATCTGTACCTAAAGAACCACCAAAGAACCTTTTTGTCCAAGAATTTAGTCAGCTTACATGAATTCTAGTATTCTTCTTAACATCAGCCTTATCAGGACTGGGGAGTTCAAAGATGTAAAGGGAAGTTAGGTACCTAATGTCCACGTAGGGTGTAGATGCATGCACAACTTCATACTCACTAGAATTTGTATGCCTAAATCCTCAGAGCTCTTTGAAAATCAATGCCGACAAGCAGGAGAACAAGACTATATTGGGGAACTGCCTGCATGTTTTGGGTGGTGTCAGTCAGTGATGGATGAAATCAGTATGCCACCCTGAGCAATGTTTTCCATAAAGGCTGATATAATATCAGACGTATATCCCTGTCCAAAACCTCTGAAGAGCTCTCTGCAGCTGTGCTGTTTTTTCCCGGGTTGTGGTGAGACTGCGTGTATCAGGTGCACCACAGTACAATATTCAGATCTCAAGTTCTGCTGAAAAGGAAAGCTGAGCAGAATATATGGTAATTAAATGAAATGTCCTTTTGGTCTTTTCAGGCTTAAAGCTTGTAGCATGTCTTTTTGGTTTGGGGAATTGGGCAACAAACTGTAGCTTCACATCTTGTCCTACTGTCAGATGTTGGTTTTGCTTACATTACAGATGAAAAAAAAAAATAAAAGGGAATTTATCAGGCTGGGAGTGATCACAGAACATCAGCTGCAACATAATAAAATTTGTTTATCTAATAATTGCCTCTAGGTGGTTGTGATTATCTTTTGTTGAAGGCAGTTATTACATCATGTCGTGCTGCAATATTATCCCCAGTCCTGATACACTGACATATGGTGACAACCAGTCATCACTCTGGAATTAGGCTAGCTCCCAGGTCGAATGCATTATGGCACTAGATTATCTATGTTAAAATAGAGTGAGAAAGTCAGCTTTCAATTGACAATGTAGTGTGAGAGCTAACAAGACCCTGTTTTTAATCTGAGAGCAGTACCTGCCATTCAGTAAGAGACTAGCACCACATCGTGTCCTTTTGCTTTGTAACTGAGTTGTCTTATCGTAGACAAACTGTTTAATAACAATTCAGACTTCATTTGCAGAGACTGTTGTTGTTGATCTTGCATCCTAAATTTACAAATAATGCTTAAAAATGAAAACTAGCTTAAATGTTATCCATTGACTGGAAACCCATCGTTTAAACCTGTGAGCATGTAATGGTTTGAAATAGCTCAGTTGGTTTTCAGTAGCTCAGTGTGCCTTAGACCTTACGCTTTTCAGGTACCTCATAAGCAGAACTGAATGGGCTTCCTGAGACCCTCTGGCTATATCAATGAAAGTTTGCAAAGAAAAACGTGCTTGCAACGTAAGACGTACCCAGGACACATTCTGTCATATAAATGAATCACCACTTAAAATTAGGAAAAAATATTTCCAGCGTTAACACTGCTCAGGACAGCCTATTTTGGCAGCAAAAAAAATCACAAGATATATATTTTAAAACACTGCAGCAGCTCTGTCTCATATAGATTCGCCTCTCCCATCCTAGTACTTGAGTGCCTTCCAGAAGCACATTAAGCAAGATGACTAATGTCTCTCATCTTTGTTCTTTAACTTTGCGCTGAAATATTATGTTATTTTTCAAAAGCTACCTACAAGCTGATGAAATATCATCTTTGCAATGAACATAATATCTTTAAATTACTGTGAAGACCATGGAAAAATTCAACCTTTGTGGAAGGAAGTACAGTTTCTCTTGATGTAACTGAACAAGCGCCCAGTTATGCCAGGACACGGTTTCTGTATATAAGCATTGCAAAGCAGACTATCTTCTTGATGTATAGAAGATTTCTGGACTAAAAAAGCAAGTGATCCTTCACAGCAGCATTCATTTTGCTGGACAAGAGTTGATTGAGAATTTTGCTAATCAGTACAGCAGGGGAGATCTCTTTCTCTCTGGAACTAAAAAGATATCCGGCTTTGTAGTTGTTGCTGCTTTATTATCCTGATACTGCATAGGGTTACTGATGCAGATAACTCTCTTAAACTAGCTGTCTTTTGTATCAAAGTGTACAGAAGACTAACAGTCTAACTTTTTAATGGCATAATAACTTACTCTAAACAATAATGCTCAAAGACTAGACACCTATAAGAAGACTAAAAATTAAATAAATGCACTGCTATTTAGAGGACATTAGCTTTCCCACCGAATGCGTATGTGTGGTGTCACATTTGGACCAGCATGAGATTTACGGTTGTGGAGTTACTGCTAATGTTTGTACCGCAGTAGAAATAATGTTTGTGACCGGCATGGACCACATCATGCCGGATGCTGTACAAGGACAGCGTAAGTGTCTACTCCTCCCTGAAAAGTTTGGTTGGCTTCCAACAAACTGACCCTGAGATTGCTACATAATACCCCAGCACAAAGAAATAATAGTCCAACAGTCGCAGAGGAGAGATTCTGTCCGCAAACTCGGTTATGCTTTGCTGTGACTGTCTTATGCAATGGCATGATCTTTTAACATAAACAGTGGGATTCCCAGTAGAGCTATGGATTGGGAGGAGACAGCATGTGAATTGCTTACAGCGACCCCCCCAGCATAAAGAGCCTTACAGGAGAGAAGTCGAGGGCCCTGGATTCGTTGCTTTCATGATTGTCTTTCCCAGTTGTCATTCAGTTGCACAGGCCTGAAATCCTGGTTTCAACCTTAAACCAATTATTAATTTGAGCCCCAAGTTCTGTGCGTCTTTTTGCCTTCTGGGTTGTGTGAGTAGAGAGCTAGATGTATTCTGCAGTACAGCTAGGATACATCATTTGTTAGAGGAAGAAATGCTGAATGTATAAAATAGTAATCAGGATGATCCAGACATCAAGGTTACCACCAGGTCAGGTTTGGGGGTGAAAAACAGTTTTGTTTTGCTTTTTTCTAAAACTGCTTCGTCAAAATTAGTGCATAATGTGGGAAAACAATGGAGAAGGGTATATGTTGTGGACTTCAAGTTATTCTATTTTGCAACAAAGAACAACAAGGGTTTCTTTTTGATTGTGAGTTTTGTGGGTTTTGATGTGGGTTTTTTGTTGGTTTTTTTCTTTGCTTTTCCCTCCGTAAACTATTTGGCAAAAGCATATTCTTTTCCAGATGGAATTTATTCCATATGAAGAGCTGTGGTTTTAATGACAGTTTAGACATTGATACATTTATTAGGATATATTTTCCCTTTAATAAGTGCTTTGATGTAGCAAGTATGTTCTCGATGTTCTGTGTATACATTTTCATGATAACCCCTTTGCAGTTATCTGGGAGATCAAAGACTGCAGCTCTGCAGAATTTCTGCCAAAAAGAAGAGGCTCTTTTCTTACTGAGTCCTTGTAGACTGGTCCACAGTGTTCGGTGGATTCTGCTTTCAGCTGATGACAGTTGCATATCCTCAAATTCAGTGTAGATTTTTTCTTGCATAGTCTTAATTCCCATCCTGTCTATAGCATTGCAGTGGTTCTGCATTTTCATGAGTCGCTGTAGCCACAGCAGGACCCTGTGTTAAAAGAGTATTCACATTACAGCATTAGCCAGGACTGTAAGAAACCAGCACGTCCCTGCAGTTAGCACACGTAGATGTGTCTATGGGCAATGACCACATATTTAGAATCTGGTATCCCAGAGTTGGCTGCGTGATGGTTCCTGCATCAGTGCAAATCATTTAATCGCAGCAAAAAGATGTGTTTTGCCAAAGGCGTTGCCATCTCTGCCTTGCTGTCTGCAATGCCCCATTTAGAGGCCACAGCGATCATTGAACTCTCTTCCAAAGGAGGTCTAAGAAGGTTGGCAAGTGGACCCTGTAGGAAGATGGGATTTTCTAAAAACCAGGAGAAGCTATGCCTGCTTTTGTCAGATGTGTTTAAAGAACTGCTGTACATTCTCAGTCAATTTCTTGGGAAAACCTAAGCATCGTATGGGAGTTAAAGGATCTTAACAGAAGAGATGATTACATGTTTCCATTGGGCTCAGTTTCCAGTAAGAATAAATTCTGCAAGCCAAAATTTAGAAATATGTTCTGGTTTGGGTCTGGGTACGTAAAAGGCACAGAAGCAGTAAGTCTGAAATCCTTTCAAAAAAGCTTAAGGTCTGCTGTTTCAAAACCAACAACTAGCACAAACTGGAATTAGTAGGCTGGCTGTGACATGACTGGTGGAGGATTCTAGTACTGTTCTTCAATAGACTAGCAAGTTATTGAAAATACTAACATTTTCTTAGTATTAGACATGTAATACTTTCAAGAGGGATTCTGCTCATTTCCACTTAGCTCTGTTTCAATTTCTCTTCAAGAATATTTGCAGATAAGTTTTCAGATTTATTTCCATGGTGTTCTTCTACATTTTAAAAACTTCAGCAAAATGGAACTTATCATTACCTAGCGATTCTACAATAATCAAATTTTCAGTTAAATCATCATATTAATGACTTTACTATTAGCTTAGACAAATTAGTGCACTGGCTATGGAGGATATCGCAAGGGACAGGGATTGTTATGTTCAAATAGTACACGAAGAAGAAGTGGAACTGCCCTCACTGAAGTTCTTTTAAATGGATTTTTCATGTTCAGTGTTATAGGTTCTACATCTTTCTACCTTGTTGGGGAATTCAGGTTATACTCTATTTTTCTTTACCTCTAAATAAAGCTATTTCCTGTCCAAATAGATGAATTTCACAGAATCACAGAATGGTCAGAGTTGGAAGGTAGAATGCTGTGGTAACAGCATATTAGGACAAACTTTACTAATGTTAACATAGGAATGCAATCAGAAAACCCTTCGTACCTTACTAATATATCTGTTAACACCTGCTTGTTTTCCCTGCAGAATTTTTCCGAGAACTTCTGGAGAACTCAGAAAGATCCTTAAACGACATGTTTGTCCGGACATACGGCATGCTGTACATGCAGAACTCGGAGGTGTTCCAGGACCTCTTCACAGAGCTGAAGCGGTATTACACAGGAGGCAACGTGAACTTGGAGGAAATGCTGAACGATTTCTGGGCTCGGCTGCTGGAGCGGATGTTCCAGCTCATAAACCCCCAGTACCATTTCACTGAGGACTACTTGGAGTGTGTCAGCAAGTACACAGACCAGCTGAAGCCCTTTGGAGATGTACCCAGGAAGCTGAAGGTTCAAGTGACTAGAGCGTTCATTGCCGCACGGACCTTTGTTCAGGGGCTGACAGTAGGCAGAGAGGTTGCAAACAGAGTATCCAAGGTAATCCAAAATCAGGGGTTTTTTTTAAGATTGAATTTGTTTCCAACTTCCTAGACAATTGAAATCTCATTGTGCTTTTTTTTTTTTTTTAATATGCGGGGTGGGGGGGTTGTTAGGTTGATTGTTTTTCATGTCTACCAGTATACACATCTGAAGTTTATAAATAGGGGTTGTTTTTAATTCCTTCTGGAGATATTAAGGCAATACTGACTGGAAAGCATTTCTCTTTTCCTTAATACACAATGAAATACCAATATACATCAATGTTATAGCATGGTAGCGATTGTCATTAGTAATTAAAAACTGGCTACGTATATAAAAGATTATGATTATGATCAGAATTTAAATGTTCCAAGCAAATTTATGCTGCTGTTCATTAGGGCAGTACAGCCCTCACAGTATTCATTCATCATGCAAGTGGGTGATGGATTTTGCTAGAAATGTCTAGTCATGTTTTTGATGAGAAAATAGATGAATAGTGACACCTCTAGAGCTTGAGCTTTCCCAAAGGACTGTTTGACTCACATTTATTTTAGTTTTAATTATTTATCTATGGAAATATTTATGATGATTATAATCCTTTAGGGCTTCACATAATTAAAGCTATATAAGAAAAAAAACACAAACCAAAATAAGCGATCTGGGTACCAGAAATGTGTCTGAATGACTTTCCCTTACAGAGTATTTCCAACTCAGGTGTCTTTTTCTGAATTACTGTTCCAACTAAATACTTGTTCTGTGATCTGGCTATTTGGCAGTCCTAGTCTGTAGCGTGTTTGGACCTTAACTATATTCTGAATTCTGAAGCGCTCTAGTGAAATCCACTTCGAAGGGCCCAAATACTCACTTCTGGACAATAAGTGCATGCATGATTTTGATGCTTGCCCCTTGCAATACTTCCTGCATTTACAAGCTTAAGCCATTCCTCTGGATTTAGAAGACTGGCTGTCCTGCTTCATTCAAACCACAGCCAGAAGGTGAGGTGAGGTAGAGGTACAGCTGATACATTGCACAGTACACTGCAATTCAAGCGCACAAGATGAGGCTTCTAAACTTCTCTTATCCTGTATGATGTGATATTTTGTGATTACAAATTCAGAAGCCATGAAGCTGGAGAGGCAGTCAACGAGTGAAAGCCTGATTTTATTCCTAGGAGACTGCATGGGAGGAAAGGGTCATTTTAAAAGTCAGTGAATGAAATACATGATCCCAGTTACCCAGCTAGAACCAAGATCTCTTCCTTCCAAGTGCCTTCCTCATCTATGCGGTTGCCTTCCCCTTTTTTCTGGCACTGTCAATTCTTGCAGTCCTTTCTGAACAGTGGCAGGGCATTGGCATGAAATTCCAGCCCTCCTCCTCTGGTTGGGGGCAGATACAGCTGTTTACCCCCTGAGCGTGCAGAACGCATGTATCTGCAGCCCCAGATTTTCTCTGAAGAGTGGCGACGTCCTCGTGGGTCAGGTTTTAAGTGAAAGTGCTGAGCTGTGATGTCACTGTTGTCAATAGGCATTAGGTCTTGCTGCATCGACTGGATCAGAGTGCAGAGAGTAAGCTATGCAGTTCATGTAACAGATGTGCAATTTGTGAATCCCAAACAGATCGAGGTACGTGTTGTCTGCCGAGATGTTGCTTCCCCTGTATACGTACATGGATGTACAGAATGTGCAGGTGTCTCCCCTCTCACATACCCAGGAAATAGTTTCTTCTCACCTGCTGGGTTTTCGGCGCGTAAGCCCTTTCAAGAATAGGGCTTATCACAAAATCGCTAAATGATCTTATGATCCTATAATGATAACTACTAGCTCGGTAATCATAAAGTGAGCCTTTTTGTAGCGTCACTTGAAGATGATAACGATAGCTCAATAATGCTTCTGGTTTTTCCTTTTAACATGAAAGCAACACTTTAAAATCCCTAAAAGTGTTTGGTGGTTGGTGCAAGATATAGTACAGGTTCCTTGCTTTATATATATGTAAATAGTGGTACTCTATTAGACTACTTCTAGAATACTGTGTTCAGGTTTGGGCCCTTCCCGTACAAGACAGACACTGACAAACTGAAGTGAATTCAGTGGAGGCCACCAGCATGGTCAGAACTGGAGCACTTGCCCAGTGAGGAGAGGCTGTGGGACTAAGACTTGTTCAGCCTGGAGAAGAGGTGACTTCAGGAGCACCTAGCATCAGCTCCTGGTGCCTGTAGGGAAGTCATCGAGGAGGTGCAGCAAAGCTCTCACAGTGGGGCATGGTGGGATATAAAGGACGTGAGCTGAAACAAGGGCCAGTTCAGGCTGGATATAAGCAGAAGCTTCACCATAAGGATGATCAAGCAGCAGATCAGTTGCCCAGAGAGCCTGTGCAGGCTCCATCCATGGAGGTCCTGATTGTACAAAGCCCTTTGAGATGACCTGGTCATGCTAGTCTGAATTCAGAGCTGACCCTGCTTTGAGAAGCAAGTTGGACTGGAGATCTGCTGAGCACCCTTCCAGCCTGAACTATCCTATGATCCTATTTGAAGACTAATGAAATGAACATTTTTACTTAAATGTAGAGTATGCTTTGATTACAAGACTGACTTTGGTATTAAAATCTCAGTGGCTATATTTGTACCCACAGCAAATGGTAAACAATTGCTGGTTTTAGGGATTTTGTGTCATATGCAGCTCGGTGAGGCAGATGTGAAGAACCCCAAATGACACGAAACGTTCAAGATTAATAAATATCCTGTGGAAAGGCTGTGATTACTCTCAGATCCAAGTTTTCATGATCATATTATAACTGTGGATTTTTATGCTGGTCTATCTACTGTAGAAAACGACAAATCCTTTTCTTCAAAAATCACTTTAAAAAGCTGCAGCCATTCCTTAGAATTACCACATAATTTTACAACCAAAAAAGAGGCACGTAAATATTTTTTGTTGCTGTTTTGGAAGTCATCCAGAGTCAGCACAGATTTCTTTTTCATTGTACTCTAATATTGAGAGATTCTGTGATAAGAATGCCACATCTGGGTAAGTCAAGAGAAATGAAAAAAAAAAAAAAAAAAAAGAGAGAAAATGAAAAGAAGAACTGTTGCAGTTCTTTTACAGAAATCTTTGTCCATTGTCTGCACTGTCTGGGAACAGGGGGGTTCTCCTAGCTGCAGCATCACAAGGTAAAAAGATTTTTTGCTTCCTATTTGTGGACCCATTATCTCACTGAACTGCCACTGTCAAAGGCCACACAGAAAAGAGTTGAGCCTACACCTTAAACACCATGAGAAAGAGCTTTATTAATGAGAAAGTTGGTAACAACATCTCCTTTGGGCCTTTAATTTACTTTCTCAGCCTCTCGTGGTCCATTTCTGTAAAGGAGTTGGTGGGTCACACACCCAGAAGGATTTGTTCCCTATCTGATGTCAGGGATACATCCTTTCTGAAGATTTCTTTTTAGAGAGGGTGTAATGTTGATACTGACTGAAAACGATGCAGCCAGTGAATTCCTTGCAAAAGAGCTATACTCCCCTCTTTTTCCAACAAAGTACCAACTCAAGCGCACTCAAAATAGGCAACACATATCACAAACATTTCCTCATACAATAGTACTTTGCTATTTGCTCATGTCAGTGGGATTATAATTTAGATAAGTCTCATTTAGATAAATGGGGAGGGAGGGCAGTTAGGACGTCTTTTTTTGTTATTTTTATAATTTTTTTGTAAGTTTTCTAGTATTATAACTCAATAGGTGGTTCCATCTACCTGAAATTGTGCAGTTTTAGTTGAACAGTGTTTCATAATCTCACCAATTGCACTTTTTAATTTTCAGAGGTTTTAGAATCTTTTTATTTCTCATACTAATGCATTAAAAAATTTTCAGTCTATGTTTGCTAAGGGCGTGTTAAATCTCCACTCAACACAGTGTATATTTCCACTGGCTTGAGTAGACTTCAGCTCACTAAATTCTATATACGCTTTATAAAGCTGTGTATGCATATGGACAAAATGTAAGTACAGTCTTTCTTAAAGCGATAAAAATGAAAACTATTTGTTAATATAGAAGAATCACAGGTGATCTCAAGTTGGAAGAGACCCATGAGGATCATTAAGTCCAACTCCCTGCTCCTCGCAGGACTACCTAAAACTAGACCGTATGACTAAGAGTGGCATCCAGACACTCCTTGAACTCTGACAGGCTTGGTGCCGTGGCCACCTCCCTGGGGAGCTTGTTCCACTGACCGACCACGCTCTCAGTGAAGAACCTTTTCCTAATGTCCAGTCTGAACAGCTGATGCAGCTTCAATATAGGATATTCAATATACAACATAAGAACTGCCATTTTGGGCACAGCAAAGATCTGTCCAATTGATTTTTACCTCAGTGCCCAGTAGTTTAAAGGTCAGTACAGGAGCAGAGCTTCTCACCTAGTATCCTTTCTTAAGCTACAGCTAGTACATGTTTCTGGACTTTCTGTGCTACAGGCCTAGAAAGAATTGGCAAAATTTTCTATCACCTGTCTTTCTACTAATTTGTCAGATCCTAAAAGCCTGTACAATAGGCTTTTCTGCTTTGTTACCATTTTGTGGGGGGAAAAAGTGTGCTATTCTTTTCATTTCCCCCATAAAAATATAGTATATTTAAACGTCAATGTTTTTAAATGCATTTTCTTTTTCTCAACTTATTCCTGGAGAAAACAAAACAAAACAAAACCACCAAACAAACCTTCCTGAACAGCTGAATTAGTATTTAGTGTTAAACTGGAGAAACTACTGAAAATATGTCTGAAGTCACTGCCAGCTGTGATTTCCAGTAATGTGATAGAAAAAATATATGCATATTTTTCATGTTCATCTTTTACTATGTTTGAGCTCTGGATAATTTACAAGAAAATAATGCTAAGTTACTCTCTCTGACTCGAAACAAAACATTCTTGGTGATCATAATACTCTCTTGGAACTATCACTGGGTGGCAGAAAATGTAAGCAAAAATAAAAATGGGGAGGATAAAGCAATTAAAATTAAAAAAAAGGG